CCGCTTAGGGTGCGAGAGGTCGCGGGTTCAAATCCTGGACGAAGGCAGCTTTAATTATGGTTCAACACCTATATTTTCCATGGGTTTTTCATCTGTTGTTTTGTTTCCATTTGGCACACCAAATAAATTGTCTAGGGGTATGATTCTTGATTTGGGTGCAAGAGGTCCATGGTTCAAATCCTGGAAGAGCCCAGCTTTAATCATGGTTCAACACCTAAATTTTCCACACTTGCTGCATCTGTAATTTTGTTTCCACTTTGGACACCAAATGAAACCAATGTTCCATGGCTCAATGGTCTAGTGGTATGATTCTCGCTTTGGGTGTGAGAGGTCCCAGGTTCAAATCCAGGATGAGCCCAGCTTTATCTATGGTTAAATTTTCCACATCTGTTGCATCTGTAGTTTTGTTTCCACATTGCACACCAAACAAAACCCACGCACCATGGCTAGTGGTATCATTCTTGCTTCGGGTGCGAGAGGTCCCGGGTTCAAATCCTGGAAGTGTCCAGCTTTAATTATGGTTCAACACCTAAATTTTCCAACTTTGTTGCATCTCTAGTTTTTTTTTCCACTTTGCACACCAAAAGAAAATCGTTGTTCCATAGCTCGTTGGTCTAGGGGTATGATTTTTGCTTCGGGTGCGAAAGGTCTCGGGTTCAAATCCCGGACGAGCCCAGCTTTCATTATGGTTCAACACCTAAATTTTCCACCCTCGTGTCCTCTTTAGTTTTGTTTTCACTTTGCACACTAAATAAAACCAATGTTTCATGGCTCGTTGGTCTAGGGGTATGATTCTCACTTTGGGTGCGAGAGGTCCCGGGTTCAAATCCTGGACGAGCCCAGCTTTTATTATGGTTCAACACCTAAATTTTCAACCCTTGTTGCATCTGTAGTTTTCTTTCCACTTTGCACACCAAATAATTCCAACATTCCATGGCTCGTTGGTCTAGGGGTATGATTCTTGCTTCGGGTGCGAGAGGTCGCCGGTTCAAGTCCCGGACGAGCCCAGCTTTCATTATGGTTCAACAACTAAATTTTCCAACATTGTTGCATCTGTAGTTTTGTTCCCATTTGGCAAACCAAATAAAACAAAGGTTCAAAGGCTCGTTGGTCTAGGGGAATGATTCTCGCTTTGGATGCGAGAGGTCCTGGGTTCAAATCCCGGACGAGCCCAGCTTTCATTATGGTTCAACACCTATATTTTCCATGTGTTTTTCATCTGTAGTTTTGTTTCCATTTGGCACACCAAATAAAACCCACATTCCATGGCTCGTTGGTCTAGGGGTATGATTCTCGCTTAGGGTGCGAGAGGTCCCAGGTTCAAATCCTCTCGGGTTCAAATCCTGGAGGAGCCCAGCTTTAATTAAGGTTCAACACCTAAATTTTCCACCATTGTTGCATCTGTAGTTTTCTTTCCACTTGGCAGACCAAACAAATCCAATGTTCCATGGATTGTTGGTCTAGGGGTATGCTTCTCGCTTAGGGTGCCAGAAAACCCAGGTTTAAATCCTGGATGAGCCCAGCTTTAATTAAGGTTCAACACCTAAATTTTCCACCATTGTTGTATCTGTAGTTTTCTTTCCACTTTGCAGACCAAACAAATACAATGTTCCATGGATTGTTGGTCTAGGGGTATGATTCTCGCTTAGGGTGCTAGAAGTCCTGGGTTCAAATCCTGGACGAGCCCAGCTTTAACTATGGTTAAATTTTCCACACCTGTTGCATCTGTAGTTTTGTTTCCACATTGCACACCAAACAAAACCCACGCACCATGGCTAGTGGTATAATTCTTGCTTCGGGTGCGAGAGGTCCCGGGTTCAAATCCTGGAAGTGTCCAGCTTTAATTATGGTTCAACACCTAAATTTTCCAACCTTGTTGCATCTCTAGTTTTGTTTCCACTTTGCACACCAAAAGGAAATCGCTGTTCCATAGCTCGTTGGTCTAGGGGTATGATTCTCGCTTAGGGTGCAAGTGGTCCTGGGTTCAAATCCCAGACGAGCCCAGCTTTCATTATGGTTCAACACCTATATTCTCATGTGTTTTGCATCTGTAGTTTTGTTTCCATTTGGCACACCAAATAAAACCCACATTCCATGGCTCATTGGTCTAGGGGTATGATTCTCGCTTAGGGTGCGAGAGGTCCCGGGTTCAAATCCCGGACGAGCCCAGCTTTCATTATGGTTCAACACCTATATTTTCCATGTGTGTTGCATCTGTAGTTTTGTTTCCATTTGGCACACCAAATAAAACCCACATTCCATGGCTCGTTGGTTTAGGGGTATGATTCTCGCTTTGGGTGCGAGAGGTCCTGGGTTCAAATCCCGGATGAGCCCAGCTTTCATTATGGTTCAACAACTAAATTTTCCAGCCTTGTTGCATCTGTAGTTTTGTTTACACTATGGACACCAAATAAAACCAAGTTTCAAAGGCTCGTTGGTCTAGGGGTATAATTCTCGCTTAGGGTGCGAGAGGTCCCGGGTTCAAATCCCGGACGAGCCCAGCTTTCATTATGGTTCAAAACCTATATTTTCCATGTGTTTTGCATCTGTAGTTTTGTTTCCATTTGGCACACCAAATAAAACCTACATTCCATGGCTCGTTGGTCTAGGGGTATGATTCTCGCTTAGGGTGCGAGAGGTCCCGGGTTCAAAACCCGGACGAGCCCAGCTTTCATTATGGTTCAACACCTATATTTTCAATGTGCTTTGCATCTTTAGTTTTGTTTCCATTTGGCACACCGAATAAATTGTCTAGGGGTATGATTCTTGATTTGGGTGCGGGAGGTCCATGGTTCAAATCCTGGAAGAGCCCAGCTTTAATCATGGTTTAACACCTAAATTTTCCACTCTTGCTGCATCTGTAATTTTGTTTCCACTTTGGACACCAAATAAAACCACATTCCATGGCTCGTTGGTCTAGGGGTATGATTCTCGCTTAGGGTGCGAGAGGTCCCGGGATCAAATCCCGGACGAGCCCAGCTTTAATAATGATGCAATACCTATATTTTCCATATGTTTTGCATCTGTAGTTTTGTTTCCATTTGGCACACCAAATAAAACCCCACATTCCATGGCTTGTTGGTCTAGGGGTATGATTCTCGCTTAGGGTGCGAGAGGTCGCGGGTTCAAATCCTGGACGAACGCAGCTTTAATTGTGGTTCAACACCTATATTTTCCATGGGTTTTTCATCTGTTGTTTTGTTTCCATTTGGCACACCAAATAAACCCCACATTCAATGGCTTGTTGGTCTAGGGGTATGATTCTCAATTAGGGTGCGAGAGGTCCCGGGTTCAAATCCTGGACGAACGCAGCTTTAATTATGGTTCAACACCTATATTTTCCATGTGTTTTGCATGTGTTGTTTTGTTTCCATTTGGCACACCAAATAAATTGTCTAGGGGTATGATTCTCGATTTGGGTGCGGGAGGTCCATGGTTCAAATCCTGGAAGAGCCCAGCTTTAATTATGGTTCAACACCTAAATTTTCCACACTTGCTGCATCTGTAATTTTGTTTCCACTTTGGACACCAAATGAAACCAATGTTCCATGGCTCGTTGGTCTAGGGGTATGATTCTTGCTTTGGGTGTGAGAGGTCCCAGGTTCAAATCCAGGATGAGCCCAGCTTTAACTATGGTTAAATTTTCCACATCTGTTGCATCTGTAGTTTTGTTTCCACATTGCACACCAAACAAAACCCATGCACCATGGCTAGTGGTATCATTCTTGCTTCGGGTGCAAGAGGTCCCGGGTTCAAATCCTGGAAGTGTCCAGCTTTAATTATGGTTCAACACCTAAATTTTCCAACCTTGTTGCATCTCTAGTTTTCTTTCCACTTTGCACACCAAAAGAAAATCGTTGTTCCATAGCTCGTTGGTCTAGGGGTATGATTTTTGCTTCGGGTGCGAAAGGTCTCGGGTTCAAATCCCGGACGAGCCCAGCTTTCATTATGGTTCAACACCTAAATTTTCCACCCTGGTTGCCTCTTTAGTTTTGTTTTCACTTTGCACCCCAAATAAACCGACATTCCATGGCTCGTTGGTCTAGGGGTATGATTCTCGCTTCGGGTGCGAGAGGTCCCGGGTTTAAATCCCGGACGAGCCCAGCTTTCATAATGGTTCAACAACTAAATTTTCCAACATTGTTGCATCTGTAGTTTTTTTTTCCTTTTGGCACACCCAATAAAACCCAGGCACCATGGCTCGTTTTTCAAGGGTTATGGCTTCTTGCTTCGGGTGCGAGAGGTCTCGGGTTCAAATCACGGACGAGCCCAGCTTTAACTATGGTTAAATTTTTCACACCTGTTACATCTGTAGTTTTGGTTCCACATTGCACACCAAACAAAACCCAAGCACCATGGCAAGTAGTATGATTCTTGCTTTGGGTGCGAGAGGTCCCGGGTTCAAATTCTGGAAGTACCCAGCTTTAATTATGGTTCAACACCAAAATTTTCCACCCTTGTTGCATCTGTAGTTTTCTTTCCACTTTGCACACCAAATAAACCACTTTCCATGGCTAGTTGGTCTAGGGGTATGATTCTCGCTTAGGGTGCGAGAGGTCCCGGGTTCAAATCCCAGACGAGCCCAGCTTTCATTATGGTTCAACACCTATATTCTCCATGTGTTTTGCATCTGTAGTTTTGTTTCCATTTGGCACACCAAATAAAACCCACATTCCATGGCTCATTGGTCTAGGTCCTAGACGAGCCCAGCTTTCATTATGGTTCAACACTATATTTTCTTGTTGCATCTGTAGTTTTGTTTACTTTGGACACCAAATAAAACCAAGGTTCAAAGGCTCGTTGGTCTAGGGGTATGATTCTTGCTAAGGGTGCGAGAGGTCCCGGGTTCAAATCCTGGACGAGCCCAGCTTTAATTATGGTTCAACACCTATATTTTCCATATGTTTTGCATCTGTAGTTTTGTTTCCATTTGGCACACCAAATAAAACCCACCATGGCTCTTGGTCTAGGGGTATGGCTTAGGGTGCGAGATTCCCGGG